AAAAAAAAAAAAAAAAAAAAAAAAAAAAAGCTCACCTGTTAATTTGGTATTCTGTATGTTCTGTGCCCTTAAATGTAATTGTTTTGAAAATAAAACTAACCTTGTTACGTGATGTTAAAAAGCAAACTTGTGTGCAATGTTTTAAATTTTTTTTTTTTTTTAAAAGAAAATGTTTGTATATAATTAAATGGTTTAATGTGCTTTAATTGGCCTAAGGTAAAGAGTAGTCCTAGAATGTAAACATATATAATTAGAATTTCTGATTTCACTGTGAGATCTCTGAACTCTCTTGTTTTGCGAAGTGGTTTGTTTTGTTTACAAAACACTTTCAATTATTTCTTTTATGGTGTTGGTTCAAAGGCATTTGCTTCACTTCTGTTCTAATATTGAATTCATGGTATAGTGACATCTGGTGACACTTAGCATTATCAGTTTCACTGTGTAAAGTCAGACACTTTGAGCAAAAATGGTAATGATATGACAATTCTCTGTGTCTATGAATACACGTTTTTAAATGAGGTGGTTATAAAAATAGTTGCTGTGCAAAATGTTAGTAGTCTTCTTCAAGAAGAAAGCAAATTTTCTAATATCACTAGAGCAGTCTCTTCATTCATCTTCTTATTTTTGAAGCACAGTGTCAAAGTGATGCTGCTTTACCTTGTATTTCTGATATAATGGTTTTTTTAGATATCTGTGAGGTATTTTTGTTTTTTTGTTGCTATTGTATTTTTCTGCAGATTTTATATAAAATACCAGTTAACGAACTGCCTTTTTTTTTTTTAACTATTCAACTAAAATACATTTCAGACCAAAACCAAATGATATGATCTATAGCATTTGAAATCTGCCTTTTTCCTTGTCCCTTGTTTGTTTTTTTTTTTCTTTTGTTGTTTTTTCGTTTGTTTGTTTGTTTTGAAATAAGCCAAATGGGCATGTAGATAAGATCGCTATAATGGATCCAGATCTCTTTTGGTAAAGTGTTATTTAAAGGTCTGTTAAGATCTTATAAGACAATATACTGATAAAAATTATTGTAGTAGGAATATAGTTTTAGAAGTGTTAATGAGATTAATACAGCTTAATTATACTTGTAAGTTGCTACTGTCCATAATGACAAGCTTTTTGTCATAGAAACGATGTATGATAAATTAATTTTGGTCTAGTGTATAGAATCATCATATTGCTATAAATCTTTGAAGTAAATCTGATGCAAAATTTTCATAGTTAGCATTGCTGGCCCTGTGTATACTGTTCTTTGTATACTGTATGCATATTATTTCGCCTACTGCATTAGTCTTCAAACTAAAACTCTTATTAGAGAGTATTTGGATACTTCAGACTGTGTTTCTTGCAGTTTACATTCCTTTACCATGGCATTTTGTCCTGTCTAAAAGTATTGTATGGAAATGTTTAAAACTTCTGTACAAAGTTTCAATAAAAATAGAGGAAAAACAAGAATAGATATTTGTGAAGCTATTTTGGAGAATCTCTACATAATTATGTCTCATATATTCTTGCTTGTAACGAGCTTTATGTCCGCATATATAAAGAATATCTCCTATTTTGCACCTGTTAATAAAGGCAAACCTCTTGAAGCAGGGCATGGGCATTTTCTTAACGGAGTTTAAAACAATAACAACAACAAACAAGAGAACAAAGCAGGACTTTCAAACTGCAAGAAGAACTTAAGGATCCAAACTGTAGTAGTAGAGTTTGGCTGTGGAACTGAGGGCCAATTCGTGCAGTGGGGAGGTGGGCTTATGGGTGAGACCTGTGAGTGGTGTGGGCTGCTCCTTCTGCAACTGAAGGTCAGGATGCCAGGCAGCAGCAGGGGAAGGCTAGCTGCCAGATGCGCCCTGCAGAGCAGCTGCTTGCTTAAAACAGAATATGGGTGAGCCCGTAGTTAGTGCAGGCTTGTCAGACACAGGGTAAAACTGTGCTTTTGTTTTCTTTTATATACCAACTGCTGCTTCATTAACCAGTTTGTGAATGAGACGGGCATCTTCTTTCTTTGTTCTGGAGTATCCCTAAATACTTACAGTTGTGCTTTGGCGTTGCGCTGGGACTATCACAGCCTGTAAGCCTTGGTGTGTCTGCTGTTTATTTCCAACTGTGGTCTAAAAATTGGTCCTAGTGCCTGAGTCCCGCAAGGAGCCCCTGTCCATAGGCATGCTCTGAAAATAATGAGTGTGATGCTGTCTTCTATCTCATAGGAAGCAGTTACGGCTTGGAGTAGTCAGTGCTAAGATTCTTGCCCGTGGAGTGGGAAGGATACTTACTCAGGATGTTTACTTGAACTGTTGATATTTTAATCTTTTTCTAGAAGAGGGGGCCAAATGTGAGTCCTCCCCTTCCTTCTCTCCTTGTCCCCTGTAAGGGTGTGTTTGAGCTAATAGCTATGGAAAGTGTGGTTTTAGTCATGGTTTCTTTGTTGGCCAGTGAAGAAAGTGGGGCAGGTCTGTGGATTACACACCTATGGAATGATGAGAGTAGAGTAGGAGCAAATTATGGGAAGGACATGAAGCAGATCTTCAGCTGTAGGAAAATGTTGCATTCATTAAATATTTTCTTGGTATACTCTTGCTGCTGTGTTTCAGAAGCAAAACGGAAGCTTGGCTGATGTTTAAAGAAATGGGTCCAAAACATCTTTGGAGAAGAAAGCTTGGACTCGGGATACAAAATAAGCAAGGGTTCTTGCCTGCAGTCTTGGCATGGATTTGTGACTTATGGGAGGGAGGGGAACTCATGCTTTTGTTAGTTGTTAATTAATTAGTTATCTAATTGGTCTATAGGCTGATCACCCAGTGAGCAGCTTTCCATTTCATTGATTTTAAAAGAAGATCAAGAAGTATTTTTGTCACCTACTGGTTCTATTTGTGTTAATTAGCAAAGACTCCCAATACCCAGTTTACTGCGACCTTCATGTTTCTCTGGGTGTGGATTCCTGGCCCAGGCAAGTTGTGGGCAGGCTCTGTAAATGCTGCAGCAGCATTTATTTTGAGGGTTCACTGGAAAAACTCAAGGAGAGGGTGGTAATAAGTACTCTGCCTACTGGCGCTAGAGTGAATTCTCCTTCCTTGGATGTGGTTGCCCTAGTTTGCACTGTGCCTATGTTGTGCCAGGAAAGTGAGCAAGCCAGAAAGTTTGAATTCTCTGCTTTTTTTTTTTTTTTTTGGTTTTTTTTTTTTTTTTTTTTTCCCCTATCCATCTAGTAAGCACATTTGATCAGGTTGAACTTTGTGATTTCCTTCATGCTTTTTGGGGAGTACTTAGATGGATAGGATTAAGGTGGTGATTTGACTTCATGACTGTGATGCTTATAACACTTGATCTAGATAACTAGTTTTAATACTTATCTAGACCATGAAACTAGTTTTGTAAATTAGTTTTGAATATCCGTGTGTATCTGTGTGTGTAAACGTATATGTACAAGGGCTGCTATGAAAGTAATGCCTCCTATGTTATTCTATTGGCCCGTGACATCAGAGGTGGAGGTTGGTGGTATGGTAGTAGAGGGACAAACCTTCCCACCAACATCCCGTTTCATTTTGTTGTGGTATGACAGATGGCAGCAAAGGGGCAGTCTGAGACAGTGGCATCTGACATGGAAGCATGTATAAAGCAAAGGTGTGGAATTGAATTCGTCTATGCGGAAAAAATGGCACCCACTGATATTCATAGACAATGGCTGAGCATTTCTGGAGACCGAACAGTGGATGTTAGCACAGTGAGGCTGTGGGTAGTTTATTGCAGCAGCAGCAACAGTGATATGAAAGACAAACCATGCTCTGGGTGGCCGTACACAGCTGTCACCACAGAATGAAGAGCATCTTGATCAGCCCATTCATACAGATCAGTGGATAACTACTAGGGAACTGTGTATGGAGCTGAATATTGCACCAGGGGGGTCCCACTCATGTTCATATAGGAATGGACAGAATACCATGTGTAAGTTTGTCAGGACCTATTGAAACAATACTGTATGATCCACTTTCTATTGGCCCATGACATTCAGTCTTGTTACCAGAGATGAGATGTGATGTCACCCCTATGAGCCAGAGTCAAAATAGCAGTTTATGGAGCGATGACATGAATTCCCCATGAAAGAAAATCTTCAAGACACAGAAGCTAAAATGATGTGCATTGTGTTTTGAGTTAGAAAAGGGGTGATCCTTCTGTATTTCCTGGACAAACCATAAATTTGACTGCTACTTTGCAATGCTGGCTGATCTGAAGGTTCAAA